ATAAGCTGCAGCTGCCCCAAACAGACCCTTAGATGGGGGCGTTTATCTGAAGGGGAAGCCTCTAAAGGAAATAAAATAAGGGCATGAACAATTTGGAATTTAAGTATTTAAATTTAGCTATTCAAGGGAATGTATGTATGTTAGACATTCTATTCACACATATTTGATAATTTTTTTCCAATTTTTTATTTAGACACAGTAGATGGTCCACACGCAATAATTTTACCGGTGGATGACTTATCCAATACATATTGGAGGCATGTCCAACACCCATTGTGCCTTGAACTTGTTGGACTTTATGATGGAATGTTGAGGCATATAGTGAAAAACAAAAGGATTGTTTGTATTTATCCATGTTTATTATTATTATTATTTTTTAATTGGACATGTTGATTGCGTGTCTGATACTTGTGGGAGATGTGTCAAGTTCATGCAGTCCAAAATGCGTTGGATACTAAATGCTGTTTTATAACGGGAGTGTAGGCGAATCAAATAAAAAAAAAAGGATTGTTTTTATTTATCCTAAAATCACCTTTTTTTAATTATTTGCTTATCCTAGCAAATTATTGAGAGAATACCTTAACAACAAAGTTATTTCTATGGAATTAATTAATTTTACTGTTCTGTTATCGTACTATATTTAGCACAAATCATCAAAATGGCGTTATAAACATGGTTTTTTTATATGCCGCATCAGATGTTTCTTCTAAATGCTGTCAAAGAGATTTGTGAGTAATGAATATGTGCTGATTGCTCCCTGTTTTTTTTTAAACTGGAATCTTCTTATAACTCACCAGGAAATCTCCTAAAACGTGACTATTTTACTTTTCTACAGCACTTAAAAACTAGAAGGTTGTCAAGTTTTCTTTTGGTTTCTCCCAGTATATCTTTAAAACTTAGTTTTAATCACAAATCAACCAAAATATTTGACTTGTCATCTACCACTCCACCTAAATTTGACTGTTTTACACTACAGATCACTTTCATACTAAAAATTAGTTGCTGTTCTTATTCAGAGCGGACTTCAAAATGACTGACAGCCATGAAACTGATAAAAATATTGAGATATGGAAGGTCAAAAAGTTAATTAAAGCACTAGAATCCGCAAGAGGTAATGGAACGAGCATGATATCTCTTATTATGCCTCCTCGTGATCAGATTTCTCGTGTCACCAAAATGCTCGGCGATGAATATGGAACTGCTTCGAACATCAAAAGTAGAGTCAACCGACAGTCCGTGTTAGCTGCCATTACTTCAGCTCAGCAAAGGCTGAAACTTTACAGTAAGGTACCTCCCAATGGACTCGTTCTCTATACTGGCACAATTGTCACCGAAGATGGTAAAGAGAAAAAAGTTACAATAGATTTTGAGCCTTTCAAGCCCATCAATGCCTCTCTTTATCTTTGTGACAACAAGTTCCACACAGAGGCTCTCAATGAACTTTTGGAATCGGATGACAAATTTGGTTTCATAGTTATGGATGGAAATGGAACTCTGTTTGGAACATTAAGCGGTAATACTCGCGAAGTGCTCCATAAATTTACTGTCGATCTCCCAAAGAAGCACGGAAGAGGCGGACAATCCGCGTTGCGTTTCGCTAGGCTTCGTATGGAGAAGCGTCACAATTATGTGCGAAAGACAGCTGAACTCGCCACCCAATTTTTCATTAATCCCGCTACGAGTCAGCCAAATGTGGCTGGTTTGATTTTGGCTGGCTCTGCTGATTTTAAAACAGAGTTGAGCCAGTCTGACATGTTTGATCCCCGTCTTCAAGCTAAGATTCTCAATGTTGTTGATGTGTCTTATGGAGGGGAGAATGGTTTCAACCAGGCGATTGAGTTATCAGCTGAGATCCTATCTAATGTAAAGTTCATACAAGAGAAAAAACTCATAGGAAAGTACTTTGAGGAAATTAGCCAAGATACAGGAAAGTATGTTTTTGGTGTGGATGACACACTCAAGGCTCTGGAGATGGGTGCTGTTGAGACCCTCATTGTGTGGGAAAATTTGGAGGTTAACAGATATATCCTCAAAAACAGTGTTAACAATGAAATCATTATCAAACATTTGAATAAGGAGCAAGATATTGATCAAAGCAACTTTCGCGATGCTGATACCAATGCTGAATTAGAGGTTCAGGAGAAGATTTCTCTGTTAGAATGGTTCGCTAATGAATATAAACGTTTCGGCTGCAGCCTCGAGTTTGTCACGAACAAATCTCAGGAGGGCTCTCAATTCTGCAGAGGATTCGGCGGAATCGGTGGCATTCTTCGCTATCAGCTCGACATGAGGTCGTTTGATGAGTTGTCAGATGGAGAGGTATATGAAGATTCTGATTAAATATATTGGTGGGTTCTCAGAGGATGTCGAGGCCGGCAGGTTGACAAATGGTTCTCAGTGAGTTTTTATTAAATTTTTGCATCAGCTGTGTGCAACTTCTTCATAACCTCAAGAATCAGGGTATAATTATGAAGTAATTTATGAATTTTGAATTTGGTTAAACGAGGCATGCATTTCATTGACAAATAACTATTTATCATTTTTAAATATGACTGTATTGTTGATTGATTTGTCAAAATAGACTGTTGAGCTTCATGTTGCAGTTTTGGAGAGATCCTCTGTCTTAAGAACTCGCACTGGAATTATCTCAATTTGGTTTAGAACTCCTTCTTTGATTCATGTTTTTTGGATGAAATTTTGGATGAATACATCCTTCGGGTTTGAGAAACGCTGCTCTGCTTTTCCAAAATCATTCAACTCATTTGGCTTCGGGTTTTTAGAGTTCGTTTGGTTGCTAGAAAATAGTTATTTTATGTTTATTATCTGATAGCACTGCAAAACCATTATTTTGTAAATCTAGTTTACTAATATGATTGCTTCAAATGAAGTTTGGAAGAATTTTACATACATACCTCTTAATTCCTATGTATTTACATATCTAACACCAGAACTTCAATTTTTAAATACATGCTACCGTATCCCATGCAAACAAATGTGTATTTCACTTTGTAAAAGTTGACATGATGATTTGAATGGTATAAATGTAATAAGTAATATTTGGGTGTTGGATATGTAAATACATAGGAATTAGGGGGTATGTTTAATGTATGTAAATGATCCAAATTTGATGGCGATGGTGAGGGTTCATTATGTCAATATAGCACTTGTGAAATTTAGGATTATCATTAATCCCCCCTTCTTTTATTTATTGTAAAAATATCATTGCTAATCATAAAAAACATGAATGAATCATTACCTAAATTTAATAAATGTGATGTGGAGCACATGGCATTAATTGCAGGCAAAAATGAAAAAAAAAAAAATTGTTTGCTTTCATGAAGTGACGGTGACAACTACAGGTGTTGAATTTGGATGGCGATTAATGGTTTTATAACGATAAATTTTATCGTTATTAATTTTTTTTTAAATGAATGCATGCGTAATTAGTTAAGATTTGTATTTTATTATATTTATAGCAAATTTAATGAAAATCATATATCAAATTTTAGCTTTTAAATTTTGATTTGATGTTAGAAATTAGAGGTGTAAACAAGTTGATTAGTTAAGATTTGTATTTTATTATATTTATAGCAAGTTTAATGAAAATCATAGATCAAATTTTAGATTTTAAATTTTGATTTGATGTTAGAAATTAGGGGTGTAAACGAGCTGAGTGTTCGGTTTGTTTATATTTTGAGCTCAAAAAATTTATCCGTGCACGAGCCGTTCTGTTCGGCTTGTTTATATTTTGAGCTCAAAAAGTTTATTCGTGTTCCGCTCGCAAACGAGCCGAGCACGAGCCGTTCACAAAGAGTCGTTTTGACAACCTTAATTACGTAGTCATAAGATGTTAAAAATTAGGGCATGATTTAAAACATCATTGGAATCTATTTTTAATAATTTTTATTCTATTTTCTTAATTAATACTTTTAATTGATTATAAATCTTTGTAGTCTTGTAGTCAATTAAAATTTTTAAAAAAACTACTCATCAAATACATATATATATATATATAGTATTTTTTCAAGCCAAAATGAGCCGAACACGAACGAACAAATATTTCTTCGTGTTGTTCGTGTTCGGCTCGTTAACTTAGCGAACGAGCAGAACACGAGCTGCTCGCAAACAACGAGTCATTTTGACTGTCCTATTAGAAAATTTAAAAATTAAATTGAACATAAAGAAAATAATTAAAATATTATGTAAATTTTTTTTATTTACAATATTATTTAAGATTTTGAAAATTTAAGTATCCTGAAATAGAATATTATTGATGATTATTGTATTAAATTAAATTAATTTTTTTTATTTATAATTATTGTATTGTGGATGATTTGATAAAGTATATTAGGCATGACAAAGTCAGCAAAGGCATCTTCCCTTATGGATTAATAGTTATTAATAGTAGGCCCATAAATGACTCAGCTTTAGCATTTAAATCATGATAATGTTTAACTAACTTTTGTCGCATAATAAGTTTGACTACAAAGATTTTTTTTTTTTTTCATTTTGTCTTAAAGTTCTAAATATGACGTATGATGTGATGAGTAAATACACAGTTTAAATTGTGGAATAATAAACAAAATTCAATAATAAGCACTTCACATTATGTTACATTATATATTATGTGAAAGGGGTGACTTTAAATTGGAAGTGTCTTAATTCAAAGCCAAACTTTGATGGCCTTTAAGGGGTTGTTTGGTTTGCTTAAAAAGGAATTGAGTGTTAAAGTAATGAATTGTATTTGGAATATTTTAGAGTTATTTGGTTATGTGTAAAATAAATACAGAACTTTACGTACATTATATTGTTTGGTTTGAAGAAAAATGAATTAAATGTAAAGTAAACCTGTTAAGGTTGGAGGTGACAATTGGCAATAGACGGGCTGCGGGTAGAGTCATCATCAAATGACAAAACACATGCTCTGCCAGTAGATGGTGGCGCACTGTTGGTGATGACAGGCAGCAGGCAGACGATGATGACAAAAGAACGATGGTGACTAGGAAAAGTGGTCAATGAGTGGCTGGAAGCTGGTAGCAGCAGTGAATGACGGTCTGCGACAACAATGTACACCAAGTTGTGTATTTGGAATCCACACACATCCAGAGAATTCCAATTACATCGAATATGAACTAGAATGTGCATTCCAGATACATTATCATTTTATATTGCATTTGTTTGTCTTCCCGCCATCTTCAGGTTGAATAACTTTTTCATCAGGTGTACCTTATTATTCGCTGATGACTTTTCATACATGTATGATAAAACTGTCATGAGATCTGCAGTAGTCCTCTCCTTGATGACAAAAATCTTGACAGGGTTAATCGAACAACCCCCAGAACCTGTCGATCCAACAGATTCCATTCCGCCTCGTCCATCTTTTCCGGCTTCTTTCCCAGCAACGACATGTGAAGTTTCTTCCCATAGAGGTAGTCCTCTATCTGCATTCTCCAGTAACTAAAATCTTTGGCATTGTTGACAATAACTTACGTGGGACAATACCATCATTATTTTTGGTGTAGGCAAAATCACCAAATATCTAAATTTTTTAAAATTAAATATTGGGCAAGCAAATATAACGAGGGAGGGAAAAATTATTAAATTGCCTAGACTACATAAGAAAAAAAATAAATTTTACTATTTATATAGAAATTGTCCGTCCCTGGCCCCCTAAATATGTACCATGTGCTCCTTATATGATACTCATTTATGTTTGATTTATTTTCAGGACAATTTGTTTCAAATAAATATTTTAAACTATTATATATTCGCTTAGAAAATTAACCACATTAAAGCAAATTGTAGTTGTGAATACTGTTCTTGGCATTCTTATCAATCAGGTGGAGAAAAGATTAGATTTTGGGTTCAAGATAACAATGAGAAGTCACTTGAGATTCAATTTATAATTGTTTGGCGAATGGTGCATGCAAGTGTTGCTGAAGGGGGTGAAAATAAATAAACTATAGGTAGAGACTTATTTGGAGTGATTTGGTGAGCTAATAAGTTGTGCCTGCGTCTATTGTACTTTGAAGGAGTGATTTTTCATAAGTCATTGAACAATTACATACATAATGCATAGGCTTTAAAGATTAAAAGAAAATAAAAAATCATGTAGGTGTCATTTAGGTTTATGCGGGAAGGACTTTCTTTAAGGGCGATCTTCTCTCTATTTCTGATATTGTGGTTTTTACAAAACATTGACCCTCCTTTATTAACTTTTCCTTATTCTTAGCTCTTTTTTCTATGCTCTTCCTACATGTCTTTTATTTTCTCTACTACAGTAATAGTTTTATAAGTTGTAGAGGAGCCTTAATTAGTCATTGCTACTGAGCAGAAAATGTCAAGCCTTGAGAAATGATTATAGAAATTTTGAGGGTTGATATTTAATGGCCTAAAGATCATGCATGGCCAATGATGACACTTTTAAGGAAGAAGTTCTCAACGTCCAATTGTCAATAATAAAAATGTGCAGGACTGTCAGTGATGCAACAATTATAACTCAATATACATGAAACTTTAAGTTGAGAAAACAAATTTTAAGAAAACTAGTGTTTACTAATGAAGTGTATGATGATAAGAAAGATTTTTTAGTTTTTTTTTTAATCTAACATGTACGATAAGGAAGGATGAAGGCATCCAAATAAAATTTACCTTGATTTGTAATATCAAGTTGCAAGAAGAAAAATATATTTTTTATATTTTATACTTGAGTTATGAGTCCATAATTGTGGTTATTGGTAGTTTTGGTTAATTAAAACGAATAGTTGAAAACATATTGTTGTTGATTGGTTTATTGGGGTTATATTAAAATATTTTTCTTTATTTTCATTATGTTGGAACCATCTTGACTTCGGATAAATTTTGAGAGCTTGCTAATATTATGTGATTCAAAAGAATCTTCTTATTCAAGAAAATATAAATGGATCGGTTCACAATTGAATAGATGTAACATACTAGACAATTGTCTCACGGTCTTATAGAACAATTTGAAAGAATATAATTGAGGTGGAGTAAATCGAGTATAATTCTAAATAGGTTGAGTAACATATCAAGAAGGGGTAGATATGGGTTCGAGTAGTACATTTCACATTTCTTTGAAAAACTTATTTGGAGATTTCTAATCACTCGTAAAAATAAGTCATTATGATGTGGGCTTATTAATATTTGATAAATATGCGTTAAATATTTATGTATAACTTGAATATATAGAATTGGCACATTGTTATACAAATATAAATATAATAAAACTTTTTCGAGTGAGCCAATTTCTAGCTACTTAAGCTATTCATAATATAATAAATAGTGAGCAAGTGCATGTGTCTAAATGTGAAAAAGATGATATTAATGTTGCAATTGTGTCTAAATGTGAAAAAGATGATATTAATGTTGCAATTGCTATTTCTCTTTCTCTATTATAAGAGTTTAAAAAAGAGCTTTCTTGTTATAGTTGAAAACATCTTTTGTACATGAAGTAATAGCACTTCTTCTCTCTCATAAAAAAAATAAAAGCATTCCTTATAAAATCCCTAGAAACTTTCCTTCTCCCTATTTGAAAGCTTACTACCCCTCTTCCTCTTATTATTATTATTATTATTATTATGTGATACCAAACTCTTTTTTAAAATTTATTTA